TAAAAAGGAAAGGGAAGCAAGCAAAGAAGGTGCACCTCATACTACCAAGAAAGCAGTGTCTGGAGCAGAGCGCATCCTTTGGACTTGGGGTTCCTGCGCAGAGAAGCTCCTAGTCCAGGGGAAAATTAATGACAAGGACCTTCCTCCAGAACTGACAGAGAAAGCCTTCCCCTTGAGTTGATGCCCTGAATTTGGACTTCCAGCCTACCAGACTAAGAGAAAATAAATTTCTCTTCATTAAAGCCATAGACTTGTGGTAGCACCATTTAATCTCACTTAATCCTTATAATAATCATATAAGATAGCTCCTATTGTCTCCACTTAACAAAAACAGAGACTTAGCCTTAGAAACGGTAAGTAATTTTTTCAAGATGACATAGCTAATGAGTGGGGAGCCAGAATGAGAACTCACACCCAAATCCAGGGTCTGTGTTGTTAACAACTAGGCTCTACTGGAATTAGAAGAGAATGCTTCCAAACAAAAGTACAGAAATTTTGCAGAAATTATCCTGAATGTGAAGTGATATAGTTTCGAATTATTTCTTAAGTACAAACTCAAATCTGAATTAGATTTGGACTCAAATATTTTTTTTGGCTGGGAACTATCCTTGACATTGTCATTTATAGTCTTTATCCAACTCAAACCTCACACAACCTTGTTGAAGTAGGTATAATCATAATCTATTGAGGAAATTTGGGCTCTGAGAATGAGAAGGACAGAGATGACATTCAAACTTTTTGATTCCAAGATCATTTTCCCATAACGTCATACATATCTTGAAGAGAGGTTTATGGTAGAGAATTAGTATCATGCTCTTTTATGATATTTCAAAAATAACAACCCTTTTCTAAAGGTAAAGGCAATGGATCCTGTATATCTTCCAGAGACCCATGTCTGTGAATGGAGTTATAAAAACAGGGTAAGCATATCAATTCAGAAAGAAGCCATATATGCTGTGTAATATGATATATCTTAAGAATAGGTCAGAGTACTTAAACTCAGCATCATATTTGATTATGCTGCGTCCATTTTTTTAATGCTGCCAGAGCATCAGTGTGCAATAGACATTACTAGTAGCTCTGCATCTAACATCAATAAAATTATATATACTCTGTAAAAGATTCGATTAAGGGGACTAGACAAACCGTCAGGGCTTCCAGAACCTAATCACTAATATTTTTCTCCTATCTTTTGAATACTGTTAGTGTTAGAGTAATTGCTTCCCTGACTTACAAGTATCATGGAAGACAAAAGTTCAAATGGCAAGAAGCGTGACACTGACAGCTGGGCTGTTTCTTCCTTCTAGTTTTCATATAGTTGGCAGTATAAAAAGTAATTTCTTATGTACTTTAATTGACTTGATGTATGTCTATACTAAGACAAATGCACTTTTAAAATGAAAATATTATAGACTTGTAAATGTCTTTTCAATAATTTAAAATGAGATTAGTTACTATTCTTAAAGGCAGATAATCTTTATCTTATCAAAACAGTTATTAAAAAATAATATGAACTTAATAACAAGCACTCTCTACTCTTTGGACCTTATATTCCCAAGCACCAAAGTGCAAAAATCCCTCCCAAAACCTAAGGTGGGGGGCTGGGTGTGCTGGAATGACACTAACATGTAAAACCTATAAAATGCCTACACGTTCTATCTAATTGTTTTATAGCTAATAACCCGTACTACATATTACACAGCAAACTTACTCAGATCTGGCCAAATAATCTCTTCTTATATAGTAAACAACAGTCAGCCTTGACCTTTCTGTAACTGAGCGCCTCAACGAGCAGCTAAAGAAGCCGTGCGGAAACTAAGAATAGACAGTAGAAAGACTGATTCTCAGTGCTTAAAATCTCTTTCACTAGTAATGCACTTTGCCAAAGCAGTATCCCTTCCATACCTTGTCTGATCATCAGTAACCCCGTGAGGCAGTCAGGGCAGGTCTTATTTTTATGCTACAAACGTAGAAAACAGCGGCTCGGGGCGGGCTCCCGATTGACCTGTACCAGGCTAACAACAGATCCTCACCGGATAAAAATATTATGTCTTGGTGAACCAATGTTCCTCATTTGATAGTTATGCACAGAGTTACACTTACTTTTGCGTCTCCAAAGTTGGAGTCTGGAGGGAACTTCACGTTGCAAGGCAGGGGACAGCTAAGTGCTCTGCCAAAGTCTGGGAAGGGGGCCAAGATACTCTTTAAAACTTCCGATATCCTCTCAGAATTTAAGGCAGGTGTTCCCTGCCTTCCTGCTGAGTCAAGGGCTCACCATAAGGCTAAGCCGTGCTCTAGCGGGTTCTCGAGCCCCTTATTCATTTTACCTTTTCCCCAGGAACGCTGACAACTCCTCCACCCCCACCCAACGCTCTGGCGTTTGTCAACAAGCACCACTTGGACCGACCTTTAGATCTGAAGATGCGGGACCCTTCGCTCCCAGTGGGGCAGGTCATCAGAAAGGGCATCCCAGAGACTGGAGTTGCCACTTCGCGTGACCCTCACTCACCTCAGGCCCACGAGAAACCACAGAGACCACTTCACTTCGATACCTGACTCACGGCGCTTCAAAATCGCCACAAGATTCAAACACAAGCCAACCTCCTTAGCGCCTCATTTTATTGGCTGCCGCCTGTGTGACATCATCACGCCGGACGTTTCTGCGGCTCGTGGCCGCTTGAAGCCTAGAGATTCAGTCGCGCGGCGCCGGGAAGCTACCCGGCTCCGCGTCGCCGTGGCAACGCGCGCAGCCGTTTCCGGAGGCAGTGGCCGAAGTGGGAGGGGCTGGACCAGAGCCGCAGGTTGAAGGCAGCCACCTGTGATCGTCAGTCAGCCTGCAAATCTGTGGGTGCAGGGTCCAGTCCTTGGGTTCAGGGTGTGAGTGAGACGTGTGCGGGCAGGGGTTGTCGTGTGCCGTCTGCTAGGGGGTGAGGCGGAGCCTGTTGGGTGTGGACTAGAGTTTATTTTCTCCTTTTCTGTCTGAATAGTGAGGCCTCAAAGGAGTCGCCTGATCTGGAAAGTGTAGGACCCTGTTCCTTCCAGCTATGTTCACTTGGGTGGAACTGAGGTCTGTTCATTTTAATTGGAAGTCCAAGGCTTTTGATTGGAGCCCCTGGGCTTCATTTCTGAGGACTTCCAGGCCTACTTCCTTTAGTGAAACTTTGGTGTTTGGCTGTTTTGCATTCTTCTTAATGATGACATTACAAAATAAATTCATTTAAAGATAATAGCCTATTTCGTTATTGGATGATTTTTTTTTTTAAGTCCCAGGGTGTAGGTAGGTATGTTACTTCAGAGTGTACACTTTAAAAAGAGAGAAAAATACCTGGAAAATGTTTGCTTTGTTGACTCATTTTTATTTGTCAGGATATTTTTAATAGTATGATCTGAATTTCATTTTTCTTATTTATATTATTATTACTGTATTCATTCATTCAGAAATTATTGACTGAACCCATTATGTATGTGCCAGGCACTTTTGTAGATTTTAGCAACACGATAGTACACAATATCAAAATCCCTGCCCTCTTAGAGTTTGTATTCTGGAGATTATCACTGTATAAATAGGATGGCAAAACACTCGTGAAAAGTATTAATGTATGGAAACCCCTGATATAAATGACATTTGTTTCCTGTTGAAAGCAAATTGGAAGCACTGTGTTTTGAATACGGTTTATGTTATGTGACTTTTTGAACACTGGATAGAGCCTCAATAAAGCTACTACTCTTTAGTTGTATTACATGTATCACTACTCTTTGGTTGTATTACATGTATCACTACTTTTTGGTTGTATTACATGTATCTTAACTAATGTAATAGTTATTTGTGTGGTTTTGGGTTTGGTAATAAAGTTTAAAAGCCTTTTTATTTTATCTCATTATGCACTCACTGTACTTTGTTACCTTTGATGTCCCAGACATTTTATTAATCACTTTACATATGATATCTCATTTAATTCTCAAAACAGCTCATGAGATGTAGGTGCTGTTATTTTCATTTTAGTGAGGAAGAAGTTGAAGTTGCAGAAAAACCTTAAAGGAAAATAAATCTCTTGAATTGTACAAACCAGCCATTTCAGAATTGAATCATTTGTCTCTGAAACACATTTTACATTAAGTGCCATTAAAATAGTATCTTAACCCAGTCTGAATATATACAAATCTTAGCAAATTTTTTTGTAAAATTGCATTAATCATTGGTGAATAATGGAAATGTTTTAAGTTTTGTAGTTTTTGATGCCCACAGTGTATGATAAGGCTTAGTAGTCTCACAGATGTTTCCACACCTAAACCAAGTACTTACTTTACATTTAACTTTAAATTGCATTTTACACTTGCCATTTAGCAGTGTTCAGAGGATGAGGTCTGTACTCTTACACATATAGTTAAAGCAGAAATTGTACATATAGTTAAAGCAGAGTGATTTTGACATTACAACCAATGGTATTACTCTTGTCAGCTGACTTCTTTTTAGCTTGGCAAGATATGAAGGTGATCTAACAGAAGGGATAAGAGAATGGCGTGTTTTGTAATGAAATGGAGGAAAAAGGACAAAACCCTTTGAAACACGTATAACTAAGGAGACAGAAATGCCCACATTTTGTTAGATAATGGAACGTAACTAACTGTTCAGTGTTGTTAGAACATCGAAATTGAACTTAAGTTCATAGTAAACTGAAAAGGGGAGAAATAAGGATAAAAATGGAGTGAGATTTAAAGTTTCCTCAGACATTAAAACAACAATAACAGCAGTAACAACAACAAAGAACAGAAAGGTGAATTTAAACATGGAAATGGTGGGGTCTTATTTATTTCCCCAGGAATGGCGTTTGGAAACCTCAGCGCCTGGAAGACCATTTGACAGCTAGGCGCTGGAAGCAGCGGAACGAAAGGCAGACGGTCCTCGGTTGCTGCGGCGGACGTAAGCCCAATCTGTCCGTCGTTGCCAAGTTTCCCCCGGGGCTAGGACCTAGAAGTGCGGCAAGTTCAGGTTCTTCGACCTCGTAGTAATCGTCGCTGTCCTGAGTTAGAGGCCAATTCAGGTGAGAAGATGGCTGAATCCGGGAGGAGCCCGCCCCTTTAGAGGACCTTCTGGCCTCTCCGGATTCGACTGCAGCAAAGTAAACGCGCGCCCCTGCTCTCTCGTCCTCCCGTCAACATTCATTCCTTAAGGGTTTAGAAGTTTTTAAACAGATTTCCTCGACAGAGTAGAACTCAGAGACGAATTCTTGGTCAAAACAGTGCATTGCTTCCTTTCCTTGGAACTTTCACTTTCTCTGCTTTCGGATTCCAGCCTCTAGGTCACGTTTTTGGCCTGAGGAATTAAATTTTCAGACAGGTTTTCGTTGAAGGGGAAAATTGACAGCAAGGTAGTAATCGTTGGTGCTTTTGAAGACCTAGTCGGCTAAGGCAGCAGTCATCTTTGTGTTACAATTCAGAGATAACCAGGCCACTTCTGTGATCTCATAGCTTAAACCGAACTTTGCTCTAAGAGAAAAGTTCAATCATTTACCCATGGAACCACAGACTCAGCTCTAAAGACCAGCTTTCCTGACTTCCTCCTTATTTCCTGTGCCCAGAAAGGATTAAACAATCTTAAATCGTTTAAGGTGTCTGGTTCTTAGCTACTGCAGCAGGGCTCTGGATTGTCTGGTAGGAGATTGGGCTGCAAACAAGAGGGAAGGGGTTCTATTTAAAGGTTGTTTCCTTCCACTCTTAGGGAGGTATTCTAGGAAAAAAAACGAAGAGGAAAATGAATTGTTCATGGCCCTTTTCCCCATGTTGACCCAAGTTGTTGGCCAGTTATTTAATAAACTCTTCAGGCTTTGTACATTGAACATAGTTAAATAAGTATATAGAAATTGACTGCAGTAGAAAGGAATTAAATGCTGGTGATAGCAGCATTTGTTCTATCTGCTCCTCTACTTGTATTTTTCCTTGTGGTTCTGAATCCTATGTTGGATTTGATGCTCCTTTTTCTAAAAGTTAATCAAGATCTGGACTTCTAGGGCAGCAGGTTGAAATATTCTAAATTCCGCTTACACACTTTATGCCCTTTATTGAGTCCTGCACAGCATACTGTTGTTTTCAAGTGGAGCAGTATCAAGCAATAGGATGTTGACTTCTTAAAAAAAAAAAAAAGAGTCTAATTCATGAGATAACTGCAAACACACAGTCAACATAATTAAAGTGCCATTAAATTACAGAAGTGTATTAAATATGTGCAGTGGGCTGTGTTTACAGTATGGAGGTTAAGATTTCAGACTCTGGCAAATTACTTAACTTCTCTGTTTTCCTTATCTGTAAAATGGGAATAATAATATTAGCTACCTTTTAAAGTTGTGGTAAGAATTGAATGAGTTAGCACATACAGTTTGCTTAGAATAGTAACTGGTATAGTTGTTGTCATTTATTGTTAGGTGCTATTGAGTCGGTTCTGACTCATAGCCACCCTAAGTACAACAGAACAAAACACCGCCTGGTCTCTCGACATCCTCACAGTCGTTGCTATATTTGAGCCTGTTGTTGCGGCCACTGTTTCAATCCATCTTGTTCAGGATCTTCCTCTTTTTTCGATGACCCTCTACCAAGGATTATGTCTTTCTCCAGGGACTGGTCCCTCCTGATAACATGTCCAAAGTACCTGAGACAAAGTCTCACCATCCTCATTTCTAAGGAGCATTCTGGTTGTTCTTCTTCCAAGGCAGATTTGTTTGTTCTTCTGGCAGTCCGTGGTATATTCAATATTCTTCACAAACACCATAATTCAAAGGCATCAATTCTTCTTCGGTCTTCCTTATTCATTGTCCAGCTTTTGCATGTATATTGAAAATACCATGGCTTGGATCAGAAGCACCTTAGTCCTCAAAGTGACATCTTTGCTTTTTAACATTTTAAAGAGGTCTTTTGCAGCAGATTTGCACAGTGCAACATGTTGTTAGATTTGCTGGCTGCTGCTTCCATGGGTGTTGATTGTGGATACAAGTAAAATGAAATCCTTGACAACTTCAGTATTTTCTCCATTTATCATGATGTTGCTTACTGGTCTGATTGTGAGGATTTTTGTTTTCTTTATGTTAAGGTGCAGTCCGTACTTAAGGCTGTAATCTTTCATCTTCATCAGTAAGTGCTTCAAGTCCTCTTCGCTTTCATCAAGCAAGGTTGTAGCATCGGCATAACACAGGTTGTTAATGAGTCTTCCTCTGATCCTGATGCCGCGTTCATCTTCATAAAGTCCACGTTCTTAAATTACTTGCTCAGCATACAGACTGAGTAAGTATGGTGAAAGGATACAACCCTCATGCACACTTTTCCTGATTTTAAACCATGCAGTATCCTCTTGTTCTGTTCGAATGACTGCCTCTTGTTCTATATACAGGTTCCTCATGAGCACAATTAAGTGTTCTGGAAGTCCAATTCTGTGCAATGTTATCCATAATAAGTATATGTATAATAAATATATTGGTAGAGTAAGTGCTAATAAGTATTAGCTATCATTCTGAAAAGTGTTAGAAACACTAAGTTAAAGGGTAGTTGAATTTACTTTGTGTAAGCTTTTTGGAAAACATGAGGCATAATTAATAATTTAGGCTATTTTGTCACAGGGAATGTCTAAAAATTTACTTAAAACAATCATTTCCTGCCTTTATTAAGTTTTTTGCCACATTTTTTTGCTATCACGATTGCCACATCATTCTGTGGATTTCTGTATTTGGTAAAGTTAATATATTATTCTCAAGATAACATTTGTTATTACATTAGGTAACATCAAATATATATTGTAACATTATTCTCAAGATAACATTTTTTGATGTTATATAACGTCTAGATTTTATTGTTTCTATTACAAAAGAAAGAGAAATATTTTAGTAAGATTTATGTTTCTTGAAGGATTTTGATAATGTGGTTTTTGGTGGGATGTGTCAGGAAGAATTCCCTGAAGTTAGATGTGATAAAATGTTTATTCTGTAGAGTCTGGAGTTTATTGATTTCTTCATTTTCTCAGAAAACACTTATTAAGCACCCAATTTTGTGGATACAGAGATGTGGATCCTACTCTTTTTTTTTTTTTTCAATTGCACTTTAGATGAAGGTTTACAGAACAACTAGTTTCTCATTAAAATGTACACATATTGTTGTATGACATTGGTTAACAACCTCACGACATGTCAATACTTTCCTTTCTCAACCTTGGGTTCTCTTTTGCCAGCTTTTCTGTCCCCTCCTGCCGTCTAGTCCTTGTCCCTGGGCTGTTGTGTCCCATTAGTCTTGTTTTGTTTTATGGGGCTGTCTGATATTTTGCTGAAGGGTGAACCTCGGGAGTGACTTCATTATTGAGCTGAAAGGGTGTCTGGGGGCCATGCTCTTGGGGTTTCTCCAGTCTCTGTCAGGCCAGTAAGTCTGGTCTTTTTTTGTGAGTTAGAATTATGTTCTACGTTTTTCTCTGGCTCTGTCCAGGATGCTCTGTTGTGATCCCTGTCATAGAAGTCAGTGGTGGTAGCCGGGTACCATCTAGTTGTACTGGACTCAGTCTTTTTCAGGCCGTGGTAGTTGTGGTACATTAGTCGTTTGGACTAATATTTCCCTTGTATCTTGTTTTCTTCATTCTCCCTTGCTCCCAAAGGGGTGAGACCAGTGGAGTATCTTAGATGGCTGCTCACAAGCTTTTAAGACCCCAAATGCTACTCACCAAGGTAGAATGTAGAACATTTTCTTTATAAACTATGTTATGCCACCTGAGCTAGATGGTCCCCACATCCCTCTGAGATCATGGTCCCCACAGCTCTCCACCCAGCAGTTTGGTCCCTCCGGGAGTTTGGATGTGTCTGTAGAGCTTCCATGACCTTGCCTTGGACAAGTTGTGCTGGCTTCCCCAGTATTGTGTACTGTCTTGCCCTTCACCAAAGTTACCACTTATCTATTGTCTATTTAGTATTCTCCCCCTGCCCCATCCCTCGTAATCATCAAAGATTTTTTTTTTATTGTGCTTTAGATGAAGGTTTACAGAACAAACAGTTTCTCATTAAACAGTCAGTACACTTATTGTTATGTTGGTTAACAACCCCACAACACATCAACACTCTCTCTTCTTGACCTTGGAGGACTTTTTTTTTGGTGAAAATATACATAGCCAAAATTACACCATTTCAAAAGTTTCTACATATACAATTCAGTGACATTGATTACATTCTTCCAGTTGTGCTGCTATTCTCAGTATCCTTTTCCAGATTATTCCATCACCATTATCTTCCACTCGCTGCCCCCTAGGCTTCCCATCAAACCTTTTGAGTTGCTATTGTCAGTTTGATCTTACATAGATAAGTCCTTTTTTTTTTTGTACCTTAGATGAAGGTTTGTAGAACACATAGTTTCTTATTAAACAGTTAGTACACATATTGCCCTGTAACAATGGTTAATAACCCCACAACATGTCAATGCTGTCCCTTCTCAACCTTGGGTTCCCTATCACAAGCTTTCTTGTCGCCTTGGGCCTGCTGATCCTTGTCCCTGGACTGCTAAGCCTCATTAGTCTCGTTTTATTTTATGAGGGTATCCAATCAGTGGCTGAACAGTGAACCTCAGGAGTGACTTCACCACCGAGCTAAAAGGCTGTCCAGGGGCCATACTCTCGGGGTTTCTCCAGTCTGTCAGGCCAGTAAATATGATCTTTTTTCTGTGAGTTAGAAATTTATTCTACATCCGTTTCCAGCTCTGTCCAGGACCCTCTGTTGTGATCCTGGTCAGAGCAGTCAGTGGTGGTAGCTGGGCACCATCGAGCTGTACTGGACTCAGTCTGGTGGAGGCCAAGGTAGCTGTGGTCCATTAGTCCTTTGGAGTAATCTTTTGCTTGTATCCTGTTGTCTTCATTCTCCCTTGCTCCCCAAGGGGTGAGAACAGTGGAGTATCTTAGATGGCTGCTCACAGGCGTTTAAGACCCCAGACGCTGCTCACCGAGGTAGAATGTAGAACATTGTCTTTATAAACTGTATTATGCCGGTTGAGCTAGATGTTCCCCGAGACCATGGTCCCCACAGCCCTCTGCCCAGCAATTCAGTCCCTCAGGGAGTTTGGAAGTGTCTGTGGAGCTTCCATGACGTTGTACAAGTTTTACTGGCTTCCCCAGTATTGTGTACTGTCTTACCCTTCACCAAAGCTACCACTTATCTATTGTCTATTTAGTATTTCCCCCCCACTCCTCCCATCCCTGGTAACCAACAAAGATTGTTACATTTTGTGTGTGAACTTTTTCATGGGTTTTTACAATAGAGGTCTCATACAATATT